GGTGGCGCTACGGCTATTGGGCCAACTCCACCAATCAGGAGGAGACAGCCACGGCCATTGCCGTTCGAAAGCGCTGGAGACGCTGTAGTACATATGCCAGGCCTGTAGGTGGTGCTGTTCTCACAGAATCTGCCCTTGCAAAAACAGAGCTAAAAAATGTCAAATTTAGCAAAATGAGGCATGGCTAAAATGCATGATCTGTTTGGTATTTTGAAAAGAAAAAAGTATAAATATGTCTTATATAGGTATGGTCCTACACTATATTATTCAAATATAGCATGATAGGTCCACTTTAACTAAGAAGAATGCATGAAAAAAATACACATCCTGTAATAGTTCTGAAGATTTAGCAGCCAGGTATATATTTCACAGTTATTAACGGCATATATATATATATATTGCACATATTGCACATATTGCACAACAACCTCACCAATCAGCGGTGAGGATCTCAGCGTGCCGTCATTCAAGTTGAGTCAGAAAACCAAAACATCCGCCGTCAGCTCCTCATATCTGTTCAGAAACTGGAGAAAAGTTATACATTTACAAACCAAAGACTATCTATGGCAAGGCGAATAAGGTCACATACATGTATAACTCTCTCTGCACTCTCCCCTCCTTTAGTCTTCCACTCTGTGGTCTCTTTCGCTGCTTGTTTACAGCACAGCAGAGTTAATTAGCTGTTTTATGTCTGATTTACAGTCTGAAAGGCAGACAGAGAAGACGGACGCTGCCTTGTCCTTGTTGCCCCAACCAAGGACTTATCAAAGGGGGAATTTAACCCACAACCAAAGCATAGGCACGCTGACAAGTGGTCCTTTTAATTAGGCATTTGCACATTGGTGAAGTCCATATATCTACAAAACTAACTTTTGCATATTCAGTGCTGCATTACTCCCTTTATATGTAATCGCACTGTCTACACTGATTTATCACACACACACACACACACACACACACGCACGCACACGCACGCACACGCACACACACACGACCCTACTGACCTTGACCAGTTTGTCTAGTCTCACTAACACAGTGGCTTTAGGGAGGAACGAGCAGAGAGAACACCTCATCTGACACAAACTCACACATGGATGCACCCAGAACACAGTTTCAGTTACGTATGCACACGATGTAATGCAGTCAACAAAAAGCCTCTCTGTGTGTGTGTGCAGACTATGGGACTTTAAGCCATTGTCGACCGTTACATACATGCACAATAGGGTCTCTTTAAATGCAGTTAGCAAACCCAAAAGTTAACAGAAAAAGCATCAGTTTTAGTTTTTATGCTTGAAACCTGACATTAATGCTTGTTTGCATATTTAAATATGTATATCAACCCCAATGTCTATAGGCCATGTGCATGTGTGTGTTTTTTACTGTATATACACTAACATAGATTACTGAATTACCCCTTTAGGATGAGTACATATATCTTAAAGTAATCAACAAAGCAAAACACATTTCACTCCTAAAAGTCTAAAATATTCATCTTAAAGGGGGTATTCACCTCCTCTAAAGCTCTCCGTCTCCTTCTTTCTCACACACTTTGTCAGCCGGGCTCCTACTAATCTGATCCGACAGCAGCAGGAGGCTAACAGCGATGCTAGCAACACACACACCGTGATCTGAGCTGCATTAGCATACACAGTGACAGCTAACACGAGGAGACATCACGTTAGCCGTCATGGCGGAGCGCTAGCAGAGCTGCACTGACGTAGCTACAGGTGTGATGTTCACTGATTCGGACACAGAAGGACAGCGGCAGGTGAGCATCCGGCAGCTGGTTGGTGCCATGTGTGGAGAAACAGAGTGTGGAGAGGACGGCGTTCAGAAGATTCAAGATGTTATTGTCATTTGTACATCTACAGTACAGTGTAGATATATCAATGAAAGTCTGAGGTCACAGGCTCCTCCAACAGGGCAACACGATAACACCGATATAATAGTTAGAAAGACTTCAGTTTAGGTGGAGGAGACAATTGGAAAACAAATGTTAAGTTTTCTCCCATCTCTCATTTTCCTTGTTGCTAATTGATAGCTTGCATTTTGAGAGGGGGGGGGGGTTCCCCTCTCTTTTAGGGCGTTCTATAGGTTTCTGTGCATGTAAATGGTCTGCAAAGGCTCAAATCCACGTGTTCCCTTCAGAGGGAGTTTCTATCCATGGTGACATCACTATGCAACACTCACGCTCCTATTGGCTAGCGCTCCAACACATTGTACGTGATAGGCTAAGGGGCGGGACATCTCTAAGTGGTTCACCAACCACAACAGAGCCAGCCAGCTAACCAATCAGAGCAGACTGGGCTCTGGTTTCAGACAGAGGGTGAAAAGAGGTGCTGCAGCACAGACAGTATGAGAAAAATAAAGAGCTTTTTGAACATTGAAGCATGGAGACGTGTTGCAGAAAATACTGATATGAAGCTTTAGAACGAGCAGAATAATTCCTCTTTAACTAAATATAGTGGAATTGAAGTAAAGATAGCACAACATGGACAAA